GACCTCCTCTTCACTTCACTTCAAAGGAGTGGAGTCTATTCTGGGACGGTCTGTTTGAAAGGACCTCCTCGAGTCGAGGACGGTCGAACCTTCTAGAATGCACGCACACCAATCACTCACTCGTGCGCTTGGCTGACCGCACGGGAGACTCTCACTCACTCACACTCATTCACTCACTGTACCATACACACTCACTGACACTCACTCGTCTGATACTGTAGGGAGCGAGCAAAAGGACGATAAGGTGAGCAGAGCAGCAAGGAAGCAGACGCATAGCACGTAATTTCAGGACGTGATATCCGATCACAGCCACGAACGAGGATAAGATGTTGCTGACATGGCATGAGCCGGCTTACGGCTCGATTCGCAGGTGGCAACTGTGTGGGGGGAACAGTCTTGGAATTTACGGCAAGTGAAAGGAGTATTTCAAGCTCATATGCACTGGTTCGATTCAATATGTAGGGTTTAGATGCGGTGAAGCTACAAAGGGACTCAAAATGCAAGGCAACGATCTCATCCACTGTATTGATATGTGCCAAATACAGGACAAAGTTGGCCAGTGGACAAAGCTCGTGCATAACCGTTATGCGCAGAGCCGGAAAGCTCCACTAGGAGGAGTTTCAAAAGGGCTACCTTCAACAGAGTAATCTTGATTTACGGGGCAAGGTAGAACATAATTGGGCAAAACTCAATATACCGTGAGTATATGACTAGGCGGGGCTTGGAGTCACACAAATTTGTAGAAAACACTTGAAACAGTAAAAGACTTGCATTGTATGCTGTGCGCTTCTTCTACTGCGTGTACGTGCTCTTATTTCGTTCAGTAGCTTGAGTTCCTGCCGTGCCATGATTTCCAGACAGTTATAGCCAACAGTAGGTATGAACATTACTGGCCACGTTGTGTCCTTAGCACATAGTCTTTCCACCACTGCCTCACACAAAGAAGACAAGCAGGAAATTTGAAGTCATAAGATACGGTAGGAAGAATAGCATCATGTGACACACTGATTACGTACAGAATTGTGCATATTCCTTCCAACCAAAGCCTCACCTTGTGTGAAGCAACAAGAGACGGCACATCGAGCGGGTGTGTTCGCACATAGTGCATTCTGTCCGCCTCCTCGGTCCCGTGTGCCCACCATTCGATGGGGTCGTCATCCTTCATGCTCATACTGCACTCGCTCGCTCCATACTTTATTATACCCTGAGGCGGCAAAAAGTCAACGCAAGTCAATCAGTGTGAGCCGAGGGGTACCCTTGGTCCCGTGCGTCCACCATTCGATGGGATCGTCAGCCTTCATGCCCAGACTGCACTCGCTGGCTCCATGCATTATTATTCGCTGGGGGAGCAAAGTCAACACAAGTCAATGAGAGCCAATTAGTGTGAGCCAAAGGGGTTTCCTTGGTCCCATGCGTCCACTGTTCAATGGGATCGTCAGCCTTCATGTTCAACCTGCACTCACGCAGAAGTGGTGATGCCATGCAAAGGGCACTCACACGGAAGTGGTGATGCCATGCAAAGGGCACTCACACGGAAGTGGTGATGCCATGCAAAGGGCACTCACACGGAAGTGGTGGTGCCACTTCAAACCCGTGGGTCAAGAAGGCCAAATTTGGCTCATCCTTCCTAATGTTGGTTGAATGTGCTGATTCCCGATTTCTGAGACCTAGGCCAACATTTTCGACACTCTTATTGGCTCGCGTCCAAATATTGTCCTCACTCCCAACCAACCTTCCTAAGCTTGAATAGCTTGGCCTGCAGGGTTTAAATGCAAAAGGCACTCACACGGAAGTGGTGGTGCCACGAAAATGCATAAGGCACTCACGCGGAAGTGGTGATGGCACTTACATGCAAAAAGCACTCACGCAGAAGTGGTGATGGCATGCAAAAGGCACTCGCGCGGAAGTGGTGATGGCACTTACATGCAAAAGCACTCACACAGAAGCGGTGATGGCATGCAAAAGGCACTCACGCGGAAGTGGTGATGGCACTTACATGCAAAAGCACTCACGCAGATGTGGTGATGGCATGCAAAAGGCACTCACGCGGAAGTGGTGATGGCACTTACATGCAAAAGCACTCACACAGAAGTGGTGATGGCATGCAAAAGGCACTCACGCGGAAGTGGTGATGGCACTTACATGCAAAAGCACTCACGCAGATGTGGTGATGGCATGCAAAAGGCACTCACACGGAAGTGGTGATGGCACTTACATGCAAAAGCACTCAGGCAGAAGTGGTGATGGCATGCAAAAGGCACTCACGCGGAAGTGGTGATGGCACTTACATGCAAAAGCACTCACGCAGATGTGGTGATGGCATGCAAAAGGCACTCACACGGAAGTGGTGATGGCACTTACATGCAAAAGCACTCACACAGAAGTGGTGATGGCATGCAAAAGGCACTCACACGGAAGTGGTGATGGCACTTACATGCAAAAGCACTCACGCAGATGTGGTGATGGCATGCAAAAGGCACTCACACGGAAGTGGTGATGGCACTTACATGCAAAAGCACTCACACAGAAGTGGTGATGGCATGCAAAAGGCACTCACGCGGAAGTGGTGATTGCACTTACATGCAAAAGCACTCACGCAGATGTGGTGATGGCATGCAAAAGGCACTCACGCGGAAGTGGTGATGGCACTTACATGCAAAAGCACTCACGCAGATGTGGTGATGGCATGCAAAAGGCACTCACACGGAAGTGGTGATGGCACTTACATGCAAAAGCACTCACACAGAAGTGGTGATGGCATGCAAAAGGCACTCACGCGGAAGTGGTGATGGCAGTTACATGCAAAAGCACTCACGCAGATGTGGTGATGGCATGCAAAAGGCACTCACGCGGAAGTGGTGATGGCACTTACATGCAAAAGCACTCACGCAGAAGTGGTGATGGCATGCAAAAGGCACTCACGCGGAAGTGGTGATGGCACTTACATGCAAAAGCACTCACGCAGAAGTGGTGATGGCATGCAAAAGGCTCTCACGCAGAAGTGGTGATGGCACTTACATGCAAAAGCACTCACACAGAAGTGGTGATGGCATGCAAAAGGCACTCACGCAGAAGTGGTGATGGCACTTACATGCAAAAGCACTCACACAGAAGTGGTGATGGCATGCAAAAGGCACTCACACGGAAGTGGTGATGGCACTTACATGCAAAAGCACTCACACAGAAGTGGTGATGGCATGCAAAAGGCACTCACACGGAAGTGGTGATGGCACTTACATGCAAAAGCACTCACGCAGATGTGGTGATGGCATGCAAAAGGCACTCACGCGGAAGTGGTGATGGCACTTACATGCAAAAGCACTCACGCAGATGTGGTGATGGCATGCAAAAGGCACTAACACGGAAGTGGTGATGGCACTTACATGCAAAAGCACTCACGCAGATGTGGTGATGGCATGCAAAAGGCACTCACACAGAAGTGGTGATGTCTGAGTGCTTCTGTAGGCAGGTCCTTCCCTCCCCCTCTGGGGTCTGCAACGATATGATTCTCCACCACTCGCACCTTTTGAGGCGCCTCGAAAGACACACTCACACGGAAGTGGTGATGCCTGAGTGCGTCTGTGGGGCAGGGAGCCGCTGACAAAATAGATTGCTATTCGAAAACAAACCCGCCCGGCCAGAAAGGCACTCACGCGGAAGTGGTGGTGCCTGAGTGCGTCTGTGGGCAGGTCCTTCCCTCCCCCGCTTGGGTCTGCAACGATATGGTTCTCCACCATTCGCACCTGAGGGAGAAGGGGGGGCGAGGGGGAGAGTGAGAGCGCATGACGAGATAGGACAGAACGTGCCTCCCTCAATGGGGTCTGCAACGATATGGTTCTCCACCGCTCACACCTGTGGGAGAATGGGGGGCGAGGGGGTTAAATGGGTGATAAATGTTGGGAGGAGGTTGAGATTGAAGAGACAACACAGGGTGGCCTCCCCAGCTGGGGTCTGCAACCACGTGATTCTCCACCACTCGCACCTGAGGGAGAGGGGAACGAAGGGGGCTAAAAGGGTTAGAGAGCGGTGACAGGAGGTTGAGAGGAGTCGAGATTGACGAAACAACACAAGGTGCCTCCCCCGCTGGGGTTCTCCACCACGTGGTTCTCCACCACTCGCCTGGCACCTATGACACGGAGAAAGGAGGATAAAAGGCTGAGAGGAGGGTGAGGGCGAATGAAAAGCCTTGGAGGACAGGGAGAGGACAGAAGGCCAAGAAAATACTTAGCACGCCTCCGAACGTTTCAGAATGCAACAGCACACAAAGCACACACACCTTCCTGGGATCAACAAACAGCTTGCGGTGGCCCCAGTGGTTGAGGCATAGGTTGGGACCCATGACAGGCACACACGGTTCTTAAAACCCAATCCACACCACTCTGGGACCAGCAAATATCCTAGTTGATTCACACCTTCCTGGGATCGACAAACAGCTTGCGGTGGCCCCAGTGGTTGAGGCACAGTTTAGGGTCGGTGGTGTTGTCCTTGGCCTGGCAGTAGATGAACGGCCAGTGCCACAACATTCGCTCCAATGGCCACCTGGGGTCTGTGTATGGAATGGAAGAGAGGAGATGAAAAGAGGAGGGGAGCAGATGACGGGTTAACAGGCACAGCAGGGAGTGGCACAGCGGGGAGTGGCACAGCAGGGAAGAGGGGATGAAGAGAGGATGGATGGAGAGAGGAGGGAGAGAAGGGGCGAGGAGAGGAAAGACGGACATACAGCGTGCGACTTTTGAGTCGACTCAAAAGGGGCGAGGAGAGGAAAGACAGACATACAGCGTGCGACTTTTGAGTCGACTCAAAAGGGGCGAGGAGAGGAAAGACAGACATACAGCGTGCGGCGTGCCTCTGTGCTACCAACCAAGACACCACACACGATTGGCCCCTTGGCGTGCCTCTGTGCTACCAACCAAGACACCACACACGATTGGCCCCTTGGCGTGCCTCTGTGCTACCAACCAAGACACCACACACGATTGGCCCCTTGGCGTGCCTCTGTGCTACCAACCAAGACACCACACACGATTGGCCCCTTGGCGTGCCTCTGTGCTACCAACCAAGACACCACACACGATTGGCCCCTTGGCGTGCCTCTGTGCTACCAACCAAGACACCACACACGATTGGCCCCTTGGCGTGCCTCTGTGCTACCAACCAAGACACCACACACGATTGGCCCCTTGGCGTGCCTCTGTGCTACCAACCAAGACACCACACACGATTGGCCCCTTGGCGTGCCTCTGTGCTACCAACCAAGACACCACACACGATTGGCCCCTTGGCGTGCCTCTGTGCTACCAACCAAGACACCACACACGATTGGCCCCTTGGCGTGCCTCTGTGCTACCAACCAAGACACCACACACGATTGGCCCCTTGGCGTGCCTCTGTGCTACCAACCAAGACACCACACACGATTGGCCCCTTGGCGTGCCTCTGTGCTACCAACCAAGACACCACACACGATTGGCCCCTTGGCGTGCCTCTGTGCTACCAACCAAGACACCACACACGATTGGCCCCTTGGCGTGCCTCTGTGCTACCAACCAAGACACCACACACGATTGGCCCCTTGGCGTGCCTCTGTGCTACCAACCAAGACACCACACACGATTGGCCCCTTGGCGTGCCTCTGTGCTACCAACCAAGACACCACACACGATTGGCCCCTTGGCGTGCCTCTGTGCTACCAACCAAGACACCACACACGATTGGCCCCTTGGCGTGCCTCTGTGCTACCAACCAAGACACCACACACGATTGGCCCCTTGGCGTGCCTCTGTGCTACCAACCAAGACACCACACACGATTGGCCCCTTGGCGTGCCTCTGTGCTACCAACCAAGACACCACACACGATTGGCCCCTTGGCGTGCCTCTGTGCTACCAACCAAGACACCACACACGATTGGCCCCTTGGCGTGCCTCTGTGCTACCAACCAAGACACCACACACGATTGGCCCCTTGGCGTGCCTCTGTGCTACCAACCAAGACACCACACACGATTGGCCCCTTGGCGTGCCTCTGTGCTACCAACCAAGACACCACACACGATTGGCCCCTTGGCGTGCCTCTGTGCTACCAACCAAGACACCACACACGATTGGCCCCTTGGCGTGCCTCTGTGCTACCAACCAAGACACCACACACGATTGGCCCCTTGGCGTGCCTCTGTGCTACCAACCAAGACACCACACACGATTGGCCCCTTGGCGTGCCTCTGTGCTACCAACCAAGACACCACACACGATTGGCCCCTTGGCGTGCCTCTGTGCTACCAACCAAGACACCACACACGATTGGCCCCTTGGCGTGCCTCTGTGCTACCAACCAAGACACCACACACGATTGGCCCCTTGGCGTGCCTCTGTGCTACCAACCAAGACACCACACACGATTGGCCCCTTGGCGTGCCTCTGTGCTACCAACCAAGACACCACACACGATTGGCCCCTTGGCGTGCCTCTGTGCTACCAACCAAGACACCACACACGATTGGCCCCTTGGCGTGCCTCTGTGCTACCAACCAAGACACCACACACGATTGGCCCCTTGGCGTGCCTCTGTGCTACCAACCAAGACACCACACACGATTGGCCCCTTGGCGTGCCTCTGTGCTACCAACCAAGACACCACACACGATTGGCCCCTTGGCGTGCCTCTGTGCTACCAACCAAGACACCACACACGATTGGCCCCTTGGCGTGCCTCTGTGCTACCAACCAAGACACCACACACGATTGGCCCCTTGGCGTGCCTCTGTGCTACCAACCAAGACACCACACACGATTGGCCCCTTGGCGTGCCTCTGTGCTACCAACCAAGACACCACACACGATTGGCCCCTTGGCGTGCCTCTGTGCTACCAACCAAGACACCACACACGATTGGCCCCTTGGCGTGCCTCTGTGCTACCAACCAAGACACCACACACGATTGGCCCCTTGGCGTGCCTCTGTGCTACCAACCAAGACACCACACACGATTGGCCCCTTGGCGTGCCTCTGTGCTACCAACCAAGACACCACACACGATTGGCCCCTTGGCGTGCCTCTGTGCTACCAACCAAGACACCACACACGATTGGCCCCTTGGCGTGCCTCTGTGCTACCAACCAAGACACCACACACGATTGGCCCCTTGGCGTGCCTCTGTGCTACCAACCAAGACACCACACACGATTGGCCCCTTGGCGTGCCTCTGTGCTACCAACCAAGACACCACACACGATTGGCCCCTTGGCGTGCCTCTGTGCTACCAACCAAGACACCACACACGATTGGCCCCTTGGCGTGCCTCTGTGCTACCACCCAAGACACCACACACGATTGGCCCCTTGGCGTGCCTCTGTGCTACCAACCAAGACACCACACACGATTGGCCCCTTGGCGTGCCTCTGTGCTACCAACCAAGACACCACACACGATTGGCCCCTTGGCGTGCCTCTGTGCTACCAACCAAGACACCACACACGATTGGCCCCTTGGCGTGCCTCTGTGCTACCAACCAAGACACCACACACGATTGGCCCCTTGGCGTGCCTCTGTGCTACCAACCAAGACACCACACACGATTGGCCCCTTGGCGTGCCTCTGTGCTACCAACCAAGACACCACACACGATTGGCCCCTTGGCAGGGCAGGCAACGCCTGTGGTCCCACCACAAGCGCCCATGGCTCGTATAGGGCAGTCAGGACCAGGCAACGCCACGCATGTGCGGCCCGCACAACCAAGCAAGTCCATGCCAGCACTAGACTGCACAGACAAGCAAGAGTGCGTACCATTTCGTTGTCACCTTGAGAGGGGAGGCAGCGCCTGTGGTCCCTCCCACCACAGGCGCCCATGGCTCAAATAGGGCAGTCAGGAACAGGGCCAACCACATAGTCAGTACTGCCTGCTGCTCCGCGGAGCAATCAAGTCACCTCGTACCGTTATCGCCCTGGGCAGGAAGGCAGCGCTCGTGGTCCCACCAGAGGCAGCCGTGGCTCACACAGGGCAGTCAGACCCTCATGAGGGGCGATCAGAAGCAGGCCCTACCAAGCTGCACTGCCAAAACTGCATAACCAAGCAAGTGTGCGTACCGTTGTCGCCTCGTGCAGGAAGGCAGCACTCGTGGTCCCACCAGAGGCACCCGTGGCTCACATAGGGTAGAACTCGTGAGGGGCAGTCAGATGCACGCCCAACCAAAGCACACATTTACTGCCCGCACCAGTGCACAACCATGAAGAGGGCGTGCGTACCGTTGTCGCCTTGGGCAGGAAGGCAGCGCTCGTGGTCCCACCACAGGCACCCGTGGCTCACATAGGGCAGTCCCTCGTGAGGGGCGAGAAAGTCGTGCACGCTCATTGGGTTGGGTACTCGCTCCTGTGGGTAAAGAGACAGCGGGATTCGAGAGATTCGGGAGTAGTGGCTCAGTAGGGTGAGGTGAAGCAAGGAGCAAGGACACCCAAGTGTGAAGCAGGAGCAAGGACACCCAAGTGTGAAGCAGGAGCAAGGACACCCAAGTGTGAAGCAGGAGCAAGGACACCCAAGTGTGAAGCAGGAGCAAGGACACCCAAGTGTGAAGCAGGAGCAAGGACACCCAAGTGTGAAGCAGGAGCAAGGACACCCAAGTGTGAAGCAGGAGCAAGGACACCCAAGTGTGAAGCAGGAGCAAGGACACCCAAGTGTGAAGCAAGGAGCAAGGACACCCAAGTGTGAAGCAAGGAGCAAGGACACCCAAGTGTGAAGCAGGAGCAAGGACACCCAAGTGTGAAGCAGGAGCAAGGACACCCAAGTGTGAAGCAGGAGCAAGGACACCCAAGTGTGAAGCAGGAGCAAGGACACCCAAGTGTGAAGCAGGAGCAAGGACACCCAAGTGTGAAGCAGGAGCAAGGACACCCAAGTGTGAAGCAGGAGCAAGGACACCCAAGTGTGAAGCAAGGAGCAAGGACACCCAAGTGTGAAGCAGGAGCAAGGACACCCAAGTGTGAAGCAGGAGCAAGGACACCCAAGTGTGAAGCAGGAGCAAGGACACCCAAGTGTGAAGCAGGAGCAAGGACACCCAAGTGTGAAGCAGGAGCAAGGACACCCAAGTGTGAAGCAGGAGCAAGGACACCCAAGTGTGAAGCAGGAGCAAGGACACCCAAGTGTGAAGCAGGAGCAAGGACACCCAAGTGTGAAGCAGGAGCAAGGACACCCAAGTGTGAAGCAGGAGCAAGGACACCCAAGTGTGAAGCAGGAGCAAGGACACCCAAGTGTGAAGCAGGAGCAAGGACACCCAAGTGTGAAGCAGGAGCAAGGACACCCAAGTGTGAAGCAAGGAGCAAGGACACCCAAGTGTGAAGCAGGAGCAAGGACACCCAAGTGTGAAGCAGGAGCAAGGACACCCAAGTGTGAAGCAGGAGCAAGGACACCCAAGTGTGAAGCAGGAGCAAGGACACCCAAGTGTGAAGCAGGAGCAAGGACACCCAAGTGTGAAGCAGGAGCAAGGACACCCAAGTGTGAAGCAGGAGCAAGGACACCCAAGTGTGAAGCAGGAGCAAGGACACCCAAGTGTGAAGCAGGAGCAAGGACACCCAAGTGTGAAGCAGGAGCAAGGACACCCAAGTGTGAAAGCAAACCCTCATGCGGAGAGAGAAAGCGAGATGAGGAGTGTGCGGGTGGGGAGGTCGGGATGCTTGCATGTGGAACTCGCCATTGTCAGAATCCCAATCACTAACTGCTGGGATAAAATGGTTTTTAAGTAGTGGGTGAGTGCGCCTATAACCCTCCAGACAAGCGTGTCTGTAACTCTTCCCTAGGATTAACTTGAGGGTCCCCAATGCACATCTTCTGACACCTCCCTTCACTGGGATGCCCTAGGACACGGCACAACGGCAGCAACACATGGACGCCAGCATGTGCGCACATGGACATTCGAACCTGAAGCCTTCGCTCTGATGTCATATCAGAATCTCAACCACTAATCACTGGGATAAAAGGGCTTTATAAGTAGCGGGTAAATCCGTCCATAACCTCCCAGGCAAGCGTGCCTATAACCCTTCTCTAGGATCAATCGGAGATCCCTCGTGCGGGTCTTCTAACAGCCACCTGGCCGGTGGGAAAATCACTTTCGAGAATCCTCAATAGAGATTTTGACATAGCGGACCTGACCATCTGGTCGTTGATGAAGGCGAACTGCGTTGGAATCACTTTTGAGAATCATCCAAGGGAGTGAGTGCGGCCTTGCGTGCTCACCTGCCCATCCATAAAGATGAACTCGTCAAAGTCGAGGTACATGAGCCACTTGGAAAGGCGGCGGAAGCGATACACACAATCGTTCACTATCATCACCTGGTGGGGCGGAGAGGAGACAAGAAGGAATGGGGACGGGTGTAGACGATAGAAATGATGGACGGGGTGGCATTAAGCGACCGATACACACAATCGTTCACTATCATCACTTGGTGAGGTGGTGCGGAACAAAGACAGGACGGATGGAGGGATGGCGAGCCGGTGAGGTTGAGGGATGGCGAGCCGGTGAGGTTGAGGGATGGCGAGCCGGTGAGGTTGAGGGATGGCGAGCCGGTGAGGTTGAGGGATGGCGAGCCGGTGAGGTTGAGGGATGGCGAGCCGGTGAGGTTGAGGGATGGCGAGCCGGTGAGGTTGAGGGATGGCGAGCCGGTGAGGTTGAGGGATGGCGAGCCGGTGAGGTTGAGGGATGGCGAGCCGGTGAGGTTGGGGGATGGCGAGCCGGTGAGGTTGAGGGATGGCGAGCCGGTGAGGTTGAGGGATGGCGAGCCGGTGAGGTTGAGGGATGGCGAGCCGGTGAGGTTGAGGGATGGCGGGATGGAGAGCTAATGAGGTTAAGGGATGGAGGGTTGGAGGGGTTGACCAATTCACACACAGAGTCTTTAACCATTGCATTCTGGTAGTTATGATTGTGTCGTTAAAGTACTTAGAAGCAGGTTTATTTCATTTGGCACGCTACATTCTGAGACCTTTCAATACATGGCAAGACATGCACTAGGCATCAATGCATGTCACCATTGCATTACATGCCACCATTGCATGCCAAGTCACCAGAGCATGCCAGCTCACCTGTCCATAATACCATGACTCATAGTTCACCACGTCACGAAAGTCGGTGACTTCCACGATCCCTCCATCCAGAAACGGCTGCGGGGAGAGGGTAACCAAGCGAGTGGTCATAAAGAAATGGAAGCAACATGACATAACATTGGAAAATCAGTGACTTCCAGGATCCCTCCGTCCAGAAACGGCTGCAGAAGATGGAAAGCAAGAGAACGGTTGGGGGAGAAGAGTTATAACGGTTAGACGAAAGCGGAAGCAGAATGACATACAGGGAGGGAAAAAAGAAGAAGAAAAAAAGACTCACCTGAAGAACAGAACCCAGCTGCAGGTCCACACCGCTTACATCGTACAGGACATAATGGCCCACGCCCATGCGAATGTGCAGATGAAAGGAGGCACGTACTGTCACGTGTCTCACCTGCAGCATGGAGCGCAGATGCATGTCCATGCTGCCGACATGGTAGGGCACATAATGGCCCACTCCCATGCGGATGTGCAGATCCATCTATCAACATGTCATGTCACTAACATAAGAGTATGCAAACCCATACCTGGAGCACGGAGCGCAGTTGCAGGTCCACCCCGCCCACATCGTAGAGAACATAATGGTCCACTCCCATGCGGATGTGCAGATCCATCCACTGGCGGACACGCTCCGCTCTGACCTGCAGGCATGCCACATGGAACATGTCATATGCCACATGGAACATGTCATATGCCACATGAATTTGCATGGCATGGCAGTGACTTGGCTCTGACACATGATGCACCTGGATGGTCTTCTCTCCACCCAGTCATGCCCCATGGGCACCAGGAAACTCTTTTGGTTTGAGTGAGAACACCCTTTGGATGCCCATGCCTTTGCACGGCAGCAACTGATGCTCTGATATATGGTTCACCTGTATGGTGCTCTCTCCACCCAGCCACGTCCCATGGGCACCAGGCAACTCTTTTGGTTTGATTGAGCACGAATTAGGTGCCGTGCCTTGGCACGGCAGCGACTGATGCTCTGATACACGGTGCACCCGATTGGTGTTCTTTTCTCTCCACCGAATGGTAGAAAGAGGATTCACCTGGTGGTGGATGGGGGGCGAGCAGTGCGTGATGTTGTGCAGGAGAGGGGGATAGAAGAGAGAGCTTACCTGGTGAGGAAAGAGAGAGAATCGGTTGTGAACGGAAGAGAGCCTACCACGTGCTACATGGTGAACAGGAAAATAAAAAACTCACCTGGTGGTGGATGGGGGGCGAGCAGTGCGTGATGTTGTGCAGGAAGGGGGCATGCGGCACGGCGTTCACCACCTCCCCCGCCTGCTCCTCATACACCACCACGTCCTCCCCGTCTATGCGCATGTGCAGCCATCCTCCCTCTGCTACATATGCTTCCCTGTGCAGGGTACACAGGGCACACGGGCAGGGTAGGGCAGGGAGGGCACTCAGGGCACCATACTGAGACCACCTCCCCCGCCTCCTCCTCATACACCACCCACGTCCTCCCCGTCTATGCGCATGTGCAGCCACCCCCCATCTGCTACATATGCCTCCCTGCAGTGGAGCATGGGGCACAAGGCAGGGCACAAGGGCAGGGCATATGCCTCGTTGGTATAAAGTTGCAGTGTATGGGTCATCATGGGGCATGGGATATGGGGCATGGGCAGGGCAGAGAGAAGAAAAGAACCCCGTCTTACCTTGTAAGCGTGCACATCCGATCCAAATTACTATTTCTGAAGTAGATCAGACTTTTGAGTCGACTCAAAAGTCAGCTCTGAAGTAGATCAAAGTCCCCCACACGAAAAAGAAGGAGTGTTTTGAGACGTCTCAAAGTAGATCAAAGTCCCCCACACCTCGTTTCACCCACTTACTCACCTCTTGAGCATGCAGAGCAGAATGAGCCTGTGGTGTTGATTTGACTTCTTGAGGAATAATAGATCCCACGCCTCATCCACTCAACCCATTCACCCACTTACTCACCTCTTGAGCGTGCAGAGCAGAATGAGCCTGTGGTGTTGTTTTGACTTGAGTGTGCAGGGCAGGATCAATAAAACCCACGCCTCACCCACTCACTCACCTCTTGAGTGTGCAGAGCAGAATGAGCCCGGCATATTTCCACCAATGGTGTTCTCCCACGTGTAGAACCTCCACACTGCCATGGATCCACCCCCTCTTCTCCTCCTCCGCCTCCTCCCTCCTCTCCTCCTCCTCCTCCCTCGACTCCCCCGGTTTCTCCCCATTCACAGAGGGATCACTCTCAGGTGATTCACCAGGTGAGTCAGCAGATGAGCCATTCCCTCCCGCACCTTCTCCTCCCCCTTCCCCTCCTCCCGCCTTTTCCCCACTTTCCTGTGCTGCTGTGGCGTCCCCTCCTCCCTCCTCTAGTTGCCTCCTTTTCTGAGGCACCTCAAATCTCTCAGCAGCATTCCCCCCAGTCGACTCCTGAACCATAATCTTGCCCTCTTTTCCTCTCCTCAGCGCTCTCCTCCCCTCCTCCTCCCTCCGAGCCTCCGTTTTCCCCTCTCCCCTCCTCCCCTTCGTGCGCACCACGTTCCTTCTCTCACCCGTCCTCTTTCCGCCTCTGCGCCTCTCCCCCTTCCCTCCTCCCTCCAGCCCTTTTCCTCCTCCAGTTTCCCTCACCATCAGCCTCCTCCTCCTCTTCCCTCCCTCTGAAGTTCCTCTCTTTGCATCGTGTCCAGCTTGTTTCCCTGGTTCCCACGCGCATTTGCCCACCTTACACACAGAATTGCACAGATTACACACACATCACCAGGTACAGGTTGGTTACAACGTGCATGCATTGAATGTTTTTTTAGGCGCCTCAAAAGTCAGCCGCCCTCTCCCACCTGGTTTCCCTGATTCCCTGGTTCCCTGGTAAAGGTTTTGAGACGTCTCAAAAGGTCCCCTGGTTCCCACGTGCATTTGCCCACCTTACACACGAAATCACTCACAGTTACAACGTGCGATGAATGTTACGTAACAAACAATCCAGAAAAGCAAGAGTAACATAAGACAGGAATCAGTCAAATATCATCAATCCTGCACCAGTGCACTTACAAACGAATCACTGATTTCACTCACGAACACTTCAGCAGCAGGTGTGGAGAAGCTGGAGGAGAAGGTGAGTGTGTGTGACTTTAGAGTCGTGGAGAAGCTTTCCCCCATCCATCCCCTCACGTTCCTTCCTTTCCCTTCCCTCTCGTCAGCCCCCTCCTCTCCTCACCTTCCTGCCTTCATCCAGGGCGCGGGCAGGGCAGCCAGCTCAACAGCGGCAAACTGAGAAGGGGAAATTCGATACCCGGACCGGAGAACTGGGCGAACGACACCAGCCCCACACGCCTGAACGTGTGCTGCCGCCACTCCGCCGGGCGAAACGGATGTATGCTATCCCCACGTTTCTACCTCACCTTCCTTCCTCACTCAATCATTCATTCCCCGTGCTCACACTCACCTTCTCCCCTTCCCTGCCCTGTCCTCCCCCCTTCCTCACCCCTCCCTCCACTCCCCATCCCCCGCCTCACCTTCCTGCCTTCATCCAGAGCGCGGGCGGCCAGACCAACAGCAGCAAACTCGGTGGGCGACACGCGATACCCGGAGAACTGAGCAAACGACACCAGCCCCACACGCCTGAACGTGTGCTGCCGCCACTGCGCCGGCCGAAACATGTGCGCGATATCCCCCCCCTCAGGCTCGTTAGATAGACCGCTGTGTCCAGCACCCCCGCTGCTGCTGTCAGGAGCTGCAGGTTCGGAGCTTGGTTCGGCGCTTGGTTCGGAGCCGTCCGAAGGAGTGTTGGCGGTGGCATTGGCAGGAGAGGAGGCAGGAGTGGTGTCAGTAGGTTGTTGTGCTGACTCTCCTGCTGCGGCTGCTGCTGCTGCTGCTGCTGCTGCTGCTGCTGCTGGCGATGATGGTGGTGAATCGTTCTGGGTGAGGGACTGAGGGGTTGAATGGTAAGAAGCAGAGGTAGAAGGAGAAAGGGCATAAGCAAGCAGGCAGGGCAGGTTGGAACGATATTTTATTCGAGGCGACTCAAGAAAAAGGGCAAGCAAGAAGGGCAGCTTGAACAAAGACCACGAAAGCCATGATAGCTTACAGTAGCTTCTTTCTGTGCTATCTCGAAATCACTTTTGAGAATTCTCAAAAGTGATTTCGATGTGCGCCTCTGAAAGCTTGTGTTTGCAGGAAACACATTATGCTTGTTTTATTTCATAGAAACCCACGGATATCTTCAGCAAAATTCAATGTTTCTGTACGAGTGACACCGCTTACTGATTGAGCAAATTGCGGGGGTATGGAAGAGGAGGCACGGATGAGTGCTTGCTCCTCGTCCTGCAAAATTGAAGTCTAGTTTTGAGGCACCTCAAAACTAGCGAGTGATGCTTACTGATCGAGCAAACTGCGGGGGTATGGAAGAGGAGGCACGAATGAGTCTGCTTTTAAGTCGACTCAACTCAAACGCAAGGTCAATGTTTCTGTACGAGTGACGCCGCTTACTGATTGAGCAAATTGCGGGGGTATGGAAGAGGAGGCACGGATGAGTGCTTGCTCCTCGTCCTGGAAGATTGAGAGGATGTCAAACCAGAAGACGAACACCTGGGAAGGGGGAAGGGGAGGCGGGGAGGGAGGTTAAGGGGAGGGGGAAAGGTGGGTTCATTGGGCAGGCAGCAGGCAACTGCTTTGCTTGCTCCTCCTCCTTCTGCTTGCGATGTGTGTGCTTCTTCTAAGTCTGCCTAAGAGATTGAGAAGACCTACAACAAAAGAGAATGAAAGCTTGGAGGAAAACTGTTGGAAAATCTCCCAGATGATTTTTTAGGCGCCTTGAGAATCTCCCAGATGAGCCTCACACACACGCCCTCCCCCTCACCGCTGAGCCTCACACACACGCCCTCCCCCTCACCACTGGGCCGCACACAAAAACCACTTCTCTCTCACCACTTGAGTTGAGCCTCACACACGCACGCACGCCCCCTCACCAGTAAAAGGCAGACTGCCAGAAGAATGTAAGGCGTGGAACCCTTGGGCAGCTGTAGGGGGGTGTGGAACGAGGAGGAATAGAATGAGGAGCAACGGAGTGGGGAGAATTTGAATGAAGGAGGATGGGATTGGGGAGAATGAAATTGGAGGAGAATTGAAAAGAACGAAAGAGGGGTGCTGGGAAAGGGGGGTGGGGTGGGGGGTGGGTGGATAGATGGGGGGAATAAGGAAAAAGCATATCGCTTGCCTTGCAAGATATTTTGAAAAATCGAACAAATTTCTCACAGGGTGGTAATCTGCATCGAAGCACAGCACACGCGGGGATAAAAGACAAAACCAAATACCTCCCCTCGGACGCGGGGCGGCTAAGGCAGAGAAACGCCACTCCTCCCCTCACACACAGGCGGCTAAGTCAGAGAAGCACTGCACCTCCCAGCGTTGAATGAGTCGTGTTGTGAGTCGACTAAAAAATCGCTCCCCTCACACACCACTTGCGGCTAAGTCAGAGAAGCACCGCACCTCCCGGCGTTGAATGAGAGCGTGGCATTGCTGCATGATGGACGCGGATGCCGCTGACGTCATCAGAGCCTGCCATCCCCCTCCGTGGGAAGCGGACGCTGACGACACTGGCTGCTGCTGCTGCTGCTGCTGCTGCCGCTGCTGCTGAAGCAGAGGCTGATGTTCACAGTTCCCCTGATTTCCCTGATTGTAACCCACGAGTCGCTCCTGCTGCACCCTATGCTCGTTGCGATTCCCCTGATTCCCTTGATACTCCTGATTTCCCGGATGCCCTAAGTGGTGTCCAGAATGCCGCTGGTCCTGATGGCCGTGCTGGTGACTGGAACCTTCGCTTCCAGATGCCGAAGGCGAAGCAGCTCGCCTGCTTCTGGGACTCACGCCGCTTCCGCCGCTCACGCTGCTTCCGGGACTCTCGGCTCTCCTGTGCGTCCCCTTGCTCTTCTCTTTCTCTCTCCCTCTTCCCTTCTCCCTCTCCTCTTTCGATCTCCCCCTTCCCTTCTCCTTATCCTCTTTACCTCTCTCCTTGCTGCTCTTCTCCCTACCCTTTTCTCGCCCCCTCTCCTTATCCCCCTCTTTCCCTGCCATCGCCTGCTGTTTTTTTCACTAGCTGGCGACTTTTGAATCGACTCAGAATTCGGCCATTTCCTGCTTTTCTCGATGCCTGCCTGTTACAACTGACAACTACTAGTGACACGGTTCTGGCCAATCAGAGTACTCATGGGAGGAACAATTGGGTTACGACGGAAGTTGATACGGAGTGACTGCAGCAGCGTACGGGGTGCCTGCAGCAGCATGCGGGGGGGAAATCTTCAAACCGAACCGAACCGCTCTGAGCAAGTCTGAAGTCTGATCAAGGATGTCGCATTGGGAGAGTATGTGAATGCAAAGCGCGAAACCGTTGCTATGGAGAGAGAAATGTAAGCATAGCGAAGCGGTGAAGGAATATGAATGTCTGCGTTTCCGCCTCCGATTTGAGGGTAGGAAATCTATGGTTGACTAAGTCATCTTTCCGCCAGAACCTATCTGGTCGGAGAATGCGAGCCTAGTGACAGGACGCGGTACATGTGTCGATCGACGAAAACTATTCTAACTGGAGAAGTCGACCCTGAGGGCTCGATAACACTCTAGCTGCGACCTCAGCAGGCCTCCCCTGGAGACGATCGAGCCTACGCAAGATCGATTTCTTACGTCACCTGAAATGAGTCCGTTCGTCAATTACAATATAGTTTCCGCCATGTTGATGCAAATCACACGATATAATGTTACTCTGTTACATGATTACGTCATAAACTGAGCCTACATAGGTCGATCGTCTCGGGGGGACACAGTTTCAGCAGGAGCAGCAACAAAAACACTTTCCAGGGGTCTGCTGGAACTTTTTGTTCGTTGCTTCGACCAATGATATGTTCTTTTCAAGGACACATAAGCTATCAGCCTTGATATATCTGCTTTTAATTTAGGGCACTAAGGAATTTTCTCGATATTCCTTAGCGCACCCTGCAACGTCGCGTACAGCAGCAGCCGTTGTTCGCCCGTTACTGCTAACGGGGCTTCGCCGACTTCGCGCGCACTGTTTCACCAAACCTCGCACTGCTGGCTTGGCTGTGTCGGCCTACGCTTCGGGACTAACCCGAGCCTCGCTCCAGCGTAGCACTAGCTAGCTCGTACGCACCGCGTTACCGTTTGCATGTTTCGCGTATAAATGTCCGCTCATGCCTTCGCTCACATTTTGTACTCGTTTGACAGCTTAGTGCAATTCTCGCTACTTCGATTCATTGCACCCGTAACACTTGGTATTCAGAGCCTCTTTCCTTTCGGGCCGCGCATCTCCGCACCCCAGGAAATCAACTTTTGATTTTTCACTCGAAGGGACTCACGTACCTTAGCACCTAGGAGCCGCTGTCCTCGTGTTCTCTCGTAAACGCGTGCAGCCACGACTGCGCCTGGACTAAGACGAGCCGACGCCCTTCGAAATGGCTGAACATATCGGCGTCACGACTCTCACGCAGGAGCACTTGAACGATCTGCTGCGACAAATCCGTGAGAGCGCCGAGGAAATCGCGACGTTGACGGCAGCTCGCTCGTCCCTGCAAAACAACCTCACACGGGCACAATCCCAAGCAACTGGCACTCCGATTCAGCCCGCACCACAGAAATCACACCACGGAAGTGTGGGGCAACCCGCAAGCGCCGCAAGTGATGGTGTCATCCGCCATGACGGAGACGACGACCACGGCACGACACACCCCGACGCGACGAATGCAGCCAGGACTCAGCCTCGAGTCACGATTTCGGTGCCGGCCGGTGAATCAACTCTTCCGTCGCCGATGCCGCTAAAGCCGCAGCGCCCGCCATGCTTTGACCCAAGTCAGCGGGGTGGTCCTACCGTTCAAGCGTGACTCTTCACGTTGAACGTCTTCTTCGACGCGAACTACGTCTCGGAGGATACGACGAAGATTCGCTACGCTGTGTCGCTGCTGCGAGGACCCGCCATGGACTGGTGGCGCGTCATCGTCACGAAGCCAGTGGACTACGCGACTCTACCGACACGGGAAGGACAAACCGGACCCTAGGCGCCGTCGTATTTCGTGGAGGTCCCCTGTATCGCACGTGGGACGCGTGGTGCGCAGGTCTGCGCGCTCGTTTTGAGCCAATCGCGGCTTCGATCGCGGCGCGACAGAAGCTCCGCACTTGGCGCAAACTCGGTTCCGTCCAAGATTACACGAGCGGATTTCTGGCGCTATGCGAGCTGGTGGGATATATGCGCGAGAGCGGGCGCATCGACCGCTACATCGGCGGCCTCAAGCAGGACATCGCTCAGGAAATCCAGCTTCGCGGCGTCACCGACTTTCAAGAAATTCTCGCTATGGCGGAGAAACTTGATTTCTTCCACCGACCGAGACCGGGGTCCTACGGAAGCTGAGCAGCAGAATCAGACCAAGCAGCAGGGAAACGCTGGGAGGCAGTAGCAGACGGGCCCTCTACTGATAGGTCACGCCGCTCGACCGACCCAACCGACCCTCACCGAGTGATTGTGCCGGTTCACGCAATCGACCACACTCGGCCGAATAAGGAGGGGACTACGGTAGACAGCCCCATATTGCTTAGTGGGAAAATCGGGACAGACTTAGTTAAAATCTTCGTAGACGGGGGAGCTAGCCACAGTCTCATCAACACTGATGCTGTTCACACCGAAAAAAGACGGGGGATTTCGCATGTGCATCGACTACATAGCACTGAACAAGGTTACCATCAAATCCCGTTACCCCATCCCGCGAGCTGACGAACTGATCGACCAACTGCGCACAGCCCGGGTCTTCTCAAAAATCGACCTCCGAGGGGGTTACGGTACCACCCGCCCGACTGCCCTAAGACCGCATTCCGCACACGCTACGGATCCTTCGAATACATCGTCATGCCTTTCGGACTAACCAACGCCCCCGCCACTTTTCAAATGACCATGAGTGAGGCTTTCCGCCCGCACTTAGATAAGTGTGTTATAGTATACCTGGACGAAATACTGATTTACAGCCCTGACAGAGCACAGCACTTACAGGACATCGAAGCAGTTTTTAAAATACTAAGTGAGAACCGCCTACTGACAAAAGCGTCTAAGTGTGAATTTTTACAGGGTCGCCTGGAGTTTTTGGGACACGTTATTTCAGCTGCAGGAGTGGAAATAGACCTGAAGAAAATTGCGACAATTCAAGCATGGCACGCGCCAACCAACTTGACCGAGTTGCAGAGTTTTTTGGGGTTCGTCAACTACGTGCGCCGGTTCGTCCCCGACATGGCAAAGCTGACTGCCCCGCTGAAAGACCTGCTGAGGAAGGGGGTTGAGTACACGTGGGGCGAGAAAGAGCAAGCTGCCTTCTCGGCCCTCAAAAACATTTTGTGCTCACCGCCCGTGCTTCACATCTCAGATCCACACCGTCCGTTCGAGCTCGTCACTGACACAAATGACATCGCTATGGGAGAAGTAATGTTGCAAGATTTCGGGAACGGCCTCCAGGCAATCGCATACGAGTCCCGCAAGCTGCACCCGCTCGAATGCAACTACCCGATACACGACCGCGAAATGTTGGCGATCGTGCACGCGTTCAAAGTTTGGCGGTGTTACCTGACTGGCACCAACGTGACAGTACGGACAGACCACCGATCACTACAGTACCTACGCGCCCAACCAAATCTCAATCCGCGACAGATTCGCTGGTTGGACTACCTCGAGTCCAACTTCCACTACACGGTTGCGTACAAGAAAGGCGCATCCAACATCGCCGACGCACTCACCCGCCCTACCGCCCAACTCCACGCCATCTTACTCGCCCAGACCAACCCACTTTTAACAGGCCTATTCACCCACGGATACCGCACCGACCCATTTTTCACGACTCGAAACTCACAGCAACGGGCAGAAGCTAAAGGAGTTTATTACGGAAAAACAGGCACCAACCGCATCTGGGTACCCGCGTACTCACTACTGAGGGAGCTGCTACTGCAGGGGGCACATGACGGAATTACCTCGGGACATTTTGGGGTAGAAAAAACGCGACAGCAACTGCAGCGGTATTACTACTGGCCGGAGCTGTTGACCGACGTACAGCAGCACGTGGGCTCGTGCCCCACGTGTCAGATGATGAAAAGCTCAAGGAAGCAGAAGGCGAGTCAATTGCAGCCGATACCACCGCTCGAGCGCGCCTGGCAGCAAGTTACCATGGACTTCATCACAGGGTTACCTTCGAACCCTGGGGCTAATGACGTGGTGATGGTCGTCGTTGACAGGTTGACGAAGATGGCACACTTCGTTGCGTGCAAAAAGTCGATCTCAGCCGAGGAGACCGCTCGTCTGTTTATCGCAGCCGTTGTTCGCCTGCACGGGATACCCGCGGCGATTATCAGCGACAGGGACACGAAGTTTACCAGCAACTTCTGGAAAAATCTCTGGGAGCAGTTCGGGACCAGGCTACTGTTCAGTTCGTCGTACCACCCCGAGACCGACGGTCAAACGGAGCGGACGAATCAGACGATAGAGCTGTTGATTCGTGCCACGTGCAACGACCCCACGACTTGGGAGCAACAGCTGCCGCTGATCGAGTTCGCGTACAACAATGCCACGTCAGCGACGATGCAGCAGTCCCCCTTCTACCTGCCCATGACGCCGAGTCCGGACAACCCAACACCACGTGCACAGCAATTCGCCGAAAGTCTGCAAGCTGCCCGCACCAGAGCCGTAGAAGCAATTTTAAAAGCAAACGTCATCGCTAAGCGCAACGCTGACCGCCAGCGCCGCCCAGTCACATACCAGTCTGGGGATTACGTACTGCTCGACACGCAAAATCTGCGACTGCCCGACGTACCAAAACTTCGACCGCGCTACTGTGGCCCATTCCAAATCAGCCACATGATCACGCCAGTAACCGCGCACCTACTGTTACCAACCGACTGGTACATCAGCCCTTCGTTCCACGCCAGCTTGCTTCGCCCCTACACAAGCCAACTGCATCGCCTCCGCCCGCCATCCATGACTCGCCCTGCCTCGGAGCCGATCATCCTGAGCCATCGGATTCGACACCCCACGGGAATCAAGAGGATTGAATTCCTCGTTCGCTGGAAGGATCGCACGCCAACTAAGGACAGTTGGGTGCCCCTGGCCAACATCGAAAACCACCCTGCCCTGCAAGTGTACCTGAGGAGCCGGGGCTTCCGCGATATTCACGCACTCGCGTAGCGGAGGGGGCTTCTTGAGGGGGGGGATAGTGTAAGAGATTTTTCTCGATATCCCTTAGCGCACCCTGCAACATCGTGTACAGCAGCAGCCGTTGTTCGCCCGTTATTGCTAACGGGGCTTCGCCGACTTCGCGCGTACTGTTTCACCAAACCTCGCACTGCTGGCCTGGCCGTGTCGACCTACGCTTCGGAACTAGCCCGAGCCTCGCTCCAGCGTAGCACTAGCTAGCTCGCACGCACCGCGTTACCGTTTGCATGTTTCGTGTATAAATGTTCGCTCATGCCTTCGCTCACATTTTGTACTCGTTTGACACCTTCGTGCAATTCTCGCTACTTCGATTCATTGCACCCGTAACAGGCACGTTTATAAAACAGCTATAGTGTTACTATTTTCCTTTCTTCAGAAACATGTATCCCAAACGCACCATTGTAACGCGGATTGGTAGCCACTTTTCCTTACTTCTTTCCTTTTATGTCAGGTGTGACGTGGCCTCTTTCAAACAAGAAAGGACACGACGCGCAGCGTAGTTCAGTAGCGCATCACGGCGGTATCGTCCCCCCCGTGAAAGAGTGTTGAAAGGAGATTATTGAATCCACACCACTGACCCAGGTATCCACAGATCCCCATCACTTGTTATCCTGGTTCTGCCCGGCTATTTCGGGCGTCTCGAACCTCAGCCACAGATTCCGCGTCCCGCGTTCCGCGTTCGCGCTTGACGTTCCGCATCTCCCGTTTCAAAACCTAGAAAGTTCCGGTTTTCGGATTCCGGGGGTCTGCCAGCCACGATGCAGCACCTACGATCACGCGGCGCCTGTTTCGCCGATATTCTCGCTGCGCGGTAAGCCTTTCTCCATGTACCTATTCCGGGTCCTACTCGCGCAAACCGCAGCGCTCCCGGTGGAGCTATTTATGAGTCGACTCACAAATCAAACCGCAGTGCTCCGAGTGAACCTGGCTGGAAGATCTACACTACTTTTTCCTCATTAGTGTAAAGCATATATTATGTTCTTTTTTTTTCTCTACTTTTTCTAAAGAAATATCTGTTCTGCATTACTCGTCAAGTGCTCTTCTTTTTTCCCCACCCACACCCTATGGCCCGTTTTACTCCCTCCCTTCTGTTTGCCCAGCCTCTCTACTCTGGTCTCCAGCACTTTCCCCGCAGCTTCCTACCATGCATCTGTCCACGTGTTCCCATGCATGGCTGAGGAACGCCAGAGCCAAAGGGCAGGCTCGGCAGCTGCAGCTGGTTCGGCAGCAGGCTCGGCAGCAACACCAGGTTCGGCACCAGCAGCAGGAGCAGGAACGGCAGTGTCAGCAGCGAGAGCGGCTGCAGGATCAACAGCAGCAGCAGAGGCAGTCAGACAGAATCTGAACAGGCAAGGATGTAATGTGCTTGGATGGTTTGTGCGGGCAAAATACAGTCAGGCGAGAAAGGCACGCAATGGCTTCTTCTACGGAATTTATGAGGCTTATTTTTAGCTGTCTCAAAAGGCTTATCCTCCTATACTTGCACGCAACGCAACCTGCCATCCATGGTTGCATGATAGCAAGAAGGCTTATCCTCTTCTTTGTGATTGCTCTCTTTCTCTCTCTTCTGCTCTCCCCCTTTCTGCGCATCCCATTTCTGGATGCTGGATGGTGGGTGGGCTTTTGTACCAGTCAGGTCAGTATGAGCCTTTTCTGCCCCTCATGCCTCTCCCACTCCTCGCAGGCTGCGCTACCGCAGCAGGCAGAGGGGGTTCTTAGAACTGGATCTGCTGCTGGGCAAGTGGGTGGAGCAGCACCTGCCCTCTCTGGACCCGCCTCACTTGACAGCACTTGCACGCCTCATGGACGAGGTGAGTCTGACCTCTCTCTGCTGTTGGACGAGGTTAATTGAGGAGCAGGCAGAGGGGCTTCCTGGAGCTGCATCTGCTGCTGATCAAGTGGGTGGAGCAGCACCTGCCCTCTCTGGACTCTCCTCACTTGTCTGCTCTTGCGCGCCTCATGGACGAGGTACGCGAGGTACTTTGGCTCCTATACGAGGTGGGTGCTGATCAAGTGGGTGGAGCAGCACCTGCCCTCTCTGGACTCTCCTCACTTGTCTGCTCTTGCGCGCCTCATGGACGAGGTACGCGAGGGCTCTTGGCTGTGGCGCGGTAAGTAGGAAACAGGCAGAGGGGCTTCTTAGAACTGGAGGATGCCTGCTGCTGGGCAAGTGGGCGGAGCAGCACCTCCCTTCCCTCTTGCCCAGCAGTGCAAGAGCAAGAGGACCCGCCTCAACTCACTGCTCTTGACCGCTCTGCTCTTGCACGCCTCATGGACGAGGTGAGAAGGGCTTCGGGCTTCTTGAAGGTGAGACTATCTGATTCTCTTTATTGAGATCTGCTATGTTGGTGCGACTTTTGAGAATTCTCAAAAGTCGCACCAATATTGAAGGTGAGACTATCTGATTCTCTTTATTGAGATCTGCTGTTGGGCATGTGGGTGGGTGGAGGAGCACCTCCCTTCCCTCGACTCCCCACACTTGACCGCTCTGCTCTTGCACGCCTCATGGACGAGGCAAGGGTTTTTCCACTTCTTGAAGCTGCTCCGAGTGGGCCGAGTGGTGTTTTGTCGATTCTTAAGATGAGACCTGCTGCTGGGCAAGTGGGTGGAGGGGCGTTTCTCTTCGCTCCACGTCAATCAACTGTTGAAAGAAGTGTTTTGAGACGTTGAAAGAAGATTTTTGAGACGTCTCAACACACTTCTTTCTGCAAGTGGGTGGAGGGGCGTCTCCTTTCGCTCGACGCCAGTCAACTCACTGCTCTTGCACGCCTCTTGCACGAGGTGAGAGACGTGTTTTGAGTCGACTCAAAACTCGATTCAAAACACGATTCAAAACTCAACTCACTGCTCTTGCACGCCTCATGGACGAGGTTTGGGAGCACAACAGAGGGAGTTTTATTTGTTTCGCACGGGTGGGCATGCAAGGACGTTCGAGGAGGTCTGATTGATTGTCCCTCACGTGAAGGTGGGCATGAAAGGAGACTTGAGGAGGTCTGATTGATTGTCCCTCACAAACCTGAATGGTACCACTCTCGACTCTCATACCTCTCTGTGCTACAACGGGCCCGGTGCTCTGTCTGACCCTACCTGTCCGACCCTACCAGTCTGACCCTACCTGACCGAACCTACCTGTCCGACCCTACCAGTCTGACCCTACCTGACCGAACCTACCTGTCCGACCCTACCAGTCTGACCCTACCACCCTACCTGTCCGACGCTACCTGGTACGTCAGTATCTGGTTCACGGAACAGGAGCAAGCCCCTCTGGTGCATGCATACCCTCCAACGCTTCCCCTCCCCCTTCCCCCTCCCCCCACCTTCACGTGCACGTCCAGGAGAGTCCGGATCTCTTCAAGTGGTTCACAGGGCAGGAGCAAGCACCAGAGCACGTGGTGCACAATCCTGTGAGTGCTTGAAAGGCATTTCCTGCAGCACATGGACTAGAATTTTGAGAGTGTTTCAGTTACAAGTCCTGGATTATGTGGTTTAGAATTCTGTGTGCCGGGTTTAGAACCTTTTCACAAGTGGGGTGTACCAGTCAGCAGCAAGTTTCACAGCCTGTTGCTCACAACCTAGGAGTCTTTTTTTTTCGAATGCCTTGAAAACTAGCCCTGCACTGCACCACGTGGTTCAGAACCCGGTGTTTATTATTAATTTTTATGGGGCAAGCCCCCTGGAGCTGGTATAAGCAACATGAGCAAGCTGGCAACACGTGCCTGAGAATGAGCAAGCTGGCAACACGTGCCTGAGAATGAGCAAGCTGGCAACACGTGCCTGAGAATGAGCAAGCCGGCAACACGTGCCTGAGAATGAGCAAGCTGGCAACACGTGCCTGAGAATGAGCAAGCTGGCAACACGTGCCTGAGAATGAGAAAGCTGGCAACACGTGCCTGAGAATGAGCAAGCTGGCAACACGTGCCTGAGAATGAGCAAGCTGGCAACACGTGCCTGAGAATGAGCAAGCTGGCAACACGTGCCTGAGAATGAGCAAGCTGGCAACACGTGCCTGAGAATGAGCAAGCTGGCATCACGTGCCTGAGAATGAGCAAGCTGGCAACACGTGCCTGAGAATGAGCAAGCTGGCAACACGTGCCTGAGAATGAGCAAGCTGGCAACACGTGCCTGAGAATGAGAAAGCTGGCAACACGTGCCTGAGAATGAGCAAGCTGGCAACACGTGCCTGAGAATGAGCAAGCCGGCAACACGTGCCTGAGAATGAGCAAGCTGGCAACACGTGCCTGAGAATGAGCAAGCTGGCAACACGTGCCTGAGAATGAGAAAGCTGGCAACACGTGCCTGAGAATGAGCAAGCTGGCAACACGTGCCTGAGAATGAGCAAGCCGGCAACACGTGCCTGAGAATGAGCAAGCTGGCAACACGTGCCTGAGAATGAGCAAGCTGGCAACACGTGCCTGAGAATGAGCAAGCCGGCAACACGTGCCTGAGAATGAGCAAGCTGGCAACACGTGCCTGAGAATGAGCAAGCTGGCAACACGTGCCTGAGAATGAGAAAGCTGGCAACACGTGCCTGAGAATGAGCAAGCTGGCAACACGTGCCTGAGAATGAGCAAGCTGGCAACACGTGCCTGAGAATGAGCAAGCTGGCAACACGTGCCTGAGAATGAGCAAGCTGGCAACACGTGCCTGAGAATGAGCGAGCTGGCAACACGTGCCTGAGAATGAGCAAGCTGGCAACACGTGCCTGAGAATGAGCAAGCTGGCAACACGTGCCTGAGAATGAGCAAGCTGGCAACACGTGCCTGAGAATGAGCAAGCTGGCAACACGTGCCTGAGAATGAGCAAGCTGGCAACACGTGCCTGAGAATGAGCAAGCTGGCAACACGTGCCTGAGAATGAGCGAGCTGGCAACACGTGCCTGAGAATGAGCAAGCTGGCAACACGTGCCTGAGAATGAGCAAGCTGGCAACACGTGCCTGAGAATGAGCAAGCTGGCAACACGTGCCTGAGAATGAGCAAGCTGGCAACACGTGCCTGAGAATGAGAAAGCTGGCAACACGTGCCTGAGAATGAGCAAGCTGGCAACACGTGCCTGAGAATGAGCAAGCCGGCAACACGTGCCTGAGAATGAGCAAGCTGGCAACACGTGCCTGAGAATGAGCAAGCTGGCAACACGTGCCTGAGAATGAGCAAGCTGGCAACACGTGCCTGAGAATGAGCAAGCTGGTTCTGCATCGCGTCGCACCCCCTTATGAGAGAATTCTGAAAATCCCCTCCTGGATTTCCCCTCCCTCGCTTACCTTGGATTCTCCCCTCCCTGGATTTTGAGTCGACTCAAAAGTCACCTCGGATTTCCCCTCCCTGGCTTGCCTTGCCGCTTACCCCTCCGTGTTTCCACACATCCCCTTCTTGATTCAAGTCCGTTTTCTACCCCCCTCCGCACGTTCCCCTCCCTTCCGCTTCCCCATATCTCTCCTCCCACGTGTACACTTCCATGCGCAGCAAGGTAGGGGAGAGGCTGCACCGCATGCACCCTGCAGTGAACTCCCCATCTCCCTCCTCTTCTTTCTCCCTCTCCCTCCAACCTCCTCAGGTGTATATCTCCATTCGCAGCAAGGTAGACGAGAGGCTGCATCGTATGCACCCAGCAGTGAAGGCCGAGCCTGGCCTGCCGTGGGTGAGGGGGTGGGAGGACATGCAGAGGCAAGCGGGCACACCCCCTGCTGGCAACCAGTAGAGGCCTTTGCAAAACGCAGCTCAGGGGTTGTTTCGTGCACCCAGCAGTTAGGGGGGCAAAAACGCCTTATCTGCCGTGGGTGAGGGGTTGGGAGGACATTCAGGGAAAACCAGGCACACCCCCTGCCGGCAATCAGTAGCTGTGCAATAATCAGCTGAGGGGTGGGTTCATGCATCCTTTAGTGAAGGACACATCAAACTTAGCACAAGTTGTACATTGTTGAAATGTGCTTACAAATGTGAAATTGTAAAAATACCATTTCTGTTCTTCTGAAAAGTCCGTAACATGCTACTCTGGACCATTTCGTTTGAAGTGTTTACTGGCTACATCACATGATTTGTTAAGTAACATTCAACATATACCGTCATCGCCCGGATATAAGACATGCATGTCTTATCTCATACATTGAAGAAATCAGTCTTATACCGTATCACCCCGGATATAACCGCAGGCCTATTAAAAGCGCATGCGCTTCTATCTGAAGCAATGCGCTTATGGCCGATCCTCAATTATAAGCGCACCCCCTTAAAAAACGTGATATATTATAAGCGCATGTTAGTTTTAAACTTGAAAAACGGTCAAATTACTGTAACGAAGCTCGCTTTAGCAAGCTGATGACTTCAAAATCGAATTTCCTTCGCATTCAAACCCTGCAGGGTGCGCGTCCAGTCAGCATGTGCTGTAAGAAGCGCCTAGTGACTCTTTTTGAGTGTATGTGCTGGCAGGGAATCTTTCCCTGCCAAGTAGCGAGAGATTTTCACCCACAACCCTGTTTCAAATCGACTCGATTGGGTGCGCAATGACGCGAACTACATTTTCGTACTAGAGATTTAAAATTGTATATTTGTTATTTCATAAGCGCATGCGCTTATATTTTTTACTCAATTATAAGCGCACCCCCATGAAAAATCATGTTTTATTATAAGCGCAGGTGCGCTTTTATCCGGGGTGATACGGTAAATGGACAAAAATCCGTTTAGAAGATACTTCCTCGTTATACATTTGCCATTTGCCCCTACACACAAATAGGTGTCTTATAATCAGGCTACCCCGTTTATAAGAGACACCCGTATAATAGACAACCCCTGTCTACTATTCAACACTGCCTTATATCCGGGTGATAACGGTATGCGCCTGAACGCAGCGACAGCACAGCACACCTCCTCAGCTCAGCAGCAAGCAGTTTAGCTAACTTGGTAGATGCGGCAGAAGAGAGTAGATAGAGTACAACACCTTTGGTCGCTTATGAGAATTCCTTAGAAATCGTTCAGATAACTTACGGTAATATGTACAGTACCATACGTAGATGCAGTAGGAGAGCGGGAAGAGTAGAGTGTGGCTCAAGGAAGATGTTTGCAAGTGGTGGGTAGGAGAGGTTGGCTAAAGAGGACTGTTCTTCCGAACACAACAATCAGCTGCCTCGAGGTGACTTTTGAGTTGACTCAAAAGCGGGAAGAGAAGAGTGACTCAAGGAAGATGTTGTCAAGTGGTGGGAGGTGGGCTAGTAGGGCTGTTCTTCCTAACACAGCACATGGTTCAGCTGCCTCGGTAGGTGGAGTAGGAGAAGGGGGAGAGGAGCAGCGGCACGTGGAAGTGCTCCCTCTCTTGCTCTGGCAGCACCCGGAATACTATCGACACATGAGGGAAGAACCCACCACCATTGCCACTGCAACCACCACTGCCACTGCCACTCCCTGTGCCAGCAGCTTGTGAGTCCCCACGCTCTCTTGCTCCACGCATTCGACCAAGATACTCCCCTGTTGCAAAGCTCAGCCGGTAAACTCCAGCTACCACCCCCCCACCTCCCACCGATCCACCTCCTACCCCACCGCTTCCCACCGCTCCTCCCCCATCTCCATCCCTGGCAAGCAGCCCAGCAGCCCTGCCATCAGCATTTGTCACTCCCTCGCCCACTCGCTCCCATCCCAACCCCACACCACCACTCTCACTCTCCCCTCGGGCTTCTATCTGTCGCTCCAGCAGCACTGTGATGCCGGCAGCGGGTCTGCCCAGAGCCACGTCGAGAACATGTGTGGAGATGGACGGATGCTTGGCGCTTGTACTGGGTGTGACTGTAGCAGGCGTGACTGTAGCGGGTGGTGTTGTAGCGGGTACAGCGGTGGCTGGAGCACCTGGGGTGAGCATGGGGAAGCAGGAAAAAGGGGGGGATCAGGAAGAGTAGATAACTCAGGGCTGGCTCAGGGATGAGTGAAGGATGGCTCAAGGGGGTCGCCCCTGCACCGCTGTGATGCCGACAGGGGGTCTGCCCAGAGCCGACTTTTGAGGCGCCTCAGAAGGCTTTTGAGGCGCCTCAAAAGGATGGCTCTCAAGGGGGTCGCTCCTGCACCACTTTGATGCCGGCAGCGGGTCTGCCCAGAGCCACGTCACTCTGCCCCCCCTGTCTCCCCCCTCCCTCTCTGCTGACCCTCCTGCTTCTATCTGTCGCTCCAGCAACACTTTGATGCCGGCAGCGGGTCTGCCCAACGCAACATCCAGCACGTGAGTGGATATGGACGGATGCTTGGCGCTTGTAGCGGGTGTGGCTGTAGCGGGTACAGCTGTGACTGGAAGAGGTAGTGACAACAGGGAAGCAGGAAAAGGAGGGGATTATAAAGGAGGGGAATCAGCAGCAGGGGCCTTGAGGTTGGTTCAAGGTTAGGAGTCCACGTGTTGAGATGAACGGGAGTTTGATGCTTGTAGTGGGAGTGTGTAGCGGGTGTGACTGTAGCTGGTGTGACTGTAGCGAAGCGTAACGCACTACCACACACACACGCACCTGATGGTGCGATATGTGCTGCGAGTCTAGCCAGGCGGTGGGTTGCAGGGCAGGAGACTTGTTGAGGGAAGATATATCCACCAGGAAAGAAATGCACGGCCGGTAGAGGAACATAAAGAGAGGAAAAGAAGGGAAATTACAAGGTTAATTGCGGTTGATTGGAGTATAAAGAAATTTAAGGGAAGGTGCTATGGTTGGAGAAAAATTAGAGCAGGACTGAGGAGAGTAGCAGGTCGGTTTGTGGGAATGTCTAACAGCCAACTTCCCAGCCAGCAGCAGCTTCTCCAGCCTCAGCTGCTTTTCCCGTCAACTTGAAGGACAAAAACACATACACACAGCACGCACAACACACCTTCCATCCGCACATACACGCGCACACACCTGCAGCGCCAACGACTTTTGAGGCGCCTCAAAAGTCAAAACACATGCACACAGCACGCACAACACATCCATCCGCACATACATACGCGCGCACACACCTGCAGCGCCAACGACTTTTGAGGCGCCTCAAAAGTCAAAATACATGCACACAGCACGCACAACACATCTATCCGCACATACACGCGCACACACCTGCAGCGCCAAGGCCATCCGTAGGAGCATCCAGCAGCAGCTTCTCCAGCCTCAGCTGGGTGATCTTCTCTTGCTCCTTCGCTGCTAGCTGCACCTCATAGATTGGTTGATTTGCCAGGCGCTCCTGCAATAGACGGGCAGTCACATGGGATAAATGAGCACCTGCAAGCATCTTGCTTCGCCAGCCTCAGCTGGGTCTTGCCCCTTCGCTGCGAGTTGCACCTCGTAAATTGGTTGATTCCCCAAGCGCTCCTATAACAATGGGGAATAATTGGACCCTTGACATGGTTATACGTTTACACAAAACGAAGGCTGTGCACTGCTCCTTCGTTTTCCACAGGCATAATTCGCCGTATTATACGTTTACACAGAACGAAGACTGTCCCCTTGAAATATAGAGATTCGTGCCTGTGGAAAACGAAGGAGCAGTCCCTTGAACTATATATACATATACATATACATATATATATACATATATATATATATATAAAAGGTGCGGGCTTGACCTCCAGGCTACGTGTTGCTCATAATGCGGAATCCACTCTTAGCCTTGAGGATTTCAATCAGGCATTTCCATATTAAAAACACGCCATGTGTCAATCACCATGACAGAGTAACTCCAGCGCAGGCTTGCCCTGGGCGTAAATGACATAATTCCATGTTTGACAAATACCTTAAGCGCGGAGAGTATTTCCGAAGCAGGCTTGCCCTGGGCGCAGATGATGAAGATGTGTCCAAAACGCTGCTCGTAGCGGCGATTGCACTCCGCCATACCCTGTAATGGGGCAGCAGGAAGGTAGGAAGGCAGGCAAGCAGGCAGGAGGGCAGGCAGGCATGGCGGAGACAGACAAGCAGGAAGGCCTATAATTTCGTTCTGTGCGGAGAGTAGTTCTTTCCCTGCTTCACCCTGGGCGCAGATGATAAAGATGTGGCCAAAGCTCTGCTTGTAGCGGCGATTGCACTCCGCCATCTCCTGAATGGTTGTTGGGCATGCAGGCACAAAAAAAGGCAGGCAGGCAGGCGGGTGCTCGGGCGGGCGGGTAGACAGGGAGGCAGGCAAGTAGAAAGGCGTTTAATTTTGTTTCGTTACACAGGTCATTGGTCATGAAGAAGAGCAGCAGCGGTCACTGGTCACTGGTCACTGGTCACGGGTGACTTAGAGCTCTTTAGGCAGTCAAGTAGAAAGGCGTTTGATTTGGTTTCGTTTTGTTTCGCGCTCTGGTCTGGAATGAGTTGTGCTTTCCTGGAAGGATGCGTTGTCAGATGCCTTAACTTAATGGGAGTCATGTTGGAAGCACACTCAGTGTAACTTACGATTACAAGGAGCACACTTAACACGTTTTCTGTGCTAGATAAAATCCTATAGTGAGATGTGCTTGCCTGGAAAAAAGAGTCATTGGATGATTGCAGCGCCGCTACTTGCTTTGATGCGCCTCAAAATCATTCTGAGGCGCCTCAAAAACCGAGCTTGATTTTAACAACCATGTGATTGCCTGGAAGAATGAGTCGTCAAATGATTGCCGGGCTACTGCTTGCTTCGAGAATCCTCAAAATGTTCTGAGACGCCTCAGAAAGCGGACTTGCTTTTGAGTACCATCAACTTGCCTGGAAGAATGAGTCATCGGATGATTGCAGGGCCGCTGCTTGCTCC